TCCATTCTGAAAGTAGCCAGGTATGGTGCGCTGCAGCCTTTCCAGTTACCAATGCTGCTGAGCTTAAAAGCTGGAATCAAATCCCTATCTTTTACAAGATGTGAGTGTGTTTGTCTCTACATGTGCAAGATCTACATGTTTTAGCATGCTGGTGTGAGAACAGTTACAATTCTATATTACAGTATTCTTGTTACCAAAGCAATTTAGTAGTTAAGGTTAACTGTAACCTTGTCTTCCTATGTTTATCACAAGGAGCCTTTCCAGAGTCCTGAAACAAACTCAGACAAATGACGCATCTGAAAAACGACTTTTGGGTTTTTACCTTCTCTCAATTTACTTGTTCAAAAATACAACATCTAATTTCATATTCAAACAGAGAAACCTCATTCAAGGTTCTATAGTAGGTAACATAGCAAATTTTCTTATTGATTTGTAACAGCCAGTCAGAAAACCAGAGGAAACATCTTAGACATGAGGGCAGAAATGTGACAAATAAAAGTTCTGAATATAACAGTTAAGAGTACCCACTTAACTGCCCCACAACCCCTGAGGTTCAGCTATTGGTAACCTCTCCCCAGTTTTACATATCCTTTTGGCAAGTTTGCCAAAGCAACACCATGAATCACATTTAGAAATATCCCTCTAGGGATAGGGCACAAAAACTTTGAGGACTACTGATTTGGGCTATTTATTTATTTTGCAAATTTTAACAGGTTACCTGCAAGGCATAAAACAGTGTGCAAGGTGATGTGTACAAATGCACATAACCACAGTGCTTGCCACATACAGACCATGCATGTAACACACAAACAGCATTTACTCCATAACAGCAAACATTCAAGCCAAATCCTCAGTTTTAAATCAGATCCCAGATATCTGCTGTCTAAACACATTTTATATAGTATTCCCAACTGACCTTGAGGAAATTTAATCTGACAGCAGTAGTTAAGAAAACACTCCTAAGAAAGCTTATAATATCTTATGACTAAACATATGAAAGAAATTCACAACTTACCTTGACATTTTCTTCTGATTTAGTTTTATGAGTAGCAGGTGGTATTTTACCCCCCATGCTTGAAGATGAGGAAAAAAAAGATATTTGTTTAGGAAACTAAAATTAACTAAGTCAAGTAACATTTATTTATGCTGGGGAAAAGGTACACATTTAGAAGTTACCTTTTCAAATAAACTCAATTTGAATACTTCAATATTATGATTAAAAATTTGCCAGCTTAAAATTTTATTTATTTTTGAGCATATTGATTAATGAAAATCTAATCCTTTCCTTGCTTCAATTAAGTGTAGTAAACATAATAGTATAGTTTCTCCGTGCCTGTTCCCAGAGCAAAAGAGTAAGAGGCAGGGAACGTGAAATAAATCATTTGTACAAGTAGTTAGTTTAGAATTTAGTAGGTACAGGGCTCTCCCTGGTGACGCAACAGGTTAAAGCACCATGCTATGAAGCTCTCTGAAGTCACTGCAGCATGAGTTCAATCCCTGGCCAGGGAGCTGGCCCACATGGCATGGCAGACCTCTCCTGACCGGCCCACTGTTCCCCTCAGCAGTATATTTCAGAATATTTGTCTGTTCTGCTCCCCACTCTGTCTCCAGTGAACGTCTCACCCACCATACCTCTGGCCTGTATCCCAATTCTGTAAGCATAAATAAATAAATCTTAAAAAAAAAAAAAATTTAGTAGATAGAATCAAATCCAAAATCAGAAGCTTGACATTTAGTAAGAATGGCTCAATTAAATTCGAATAGGCAGTTTATGAAATTATAATACAATTCAGAACTTTCCTGACTGGAACCTTGCTTATACTCACATGCCCCTTCCTTCCTGGAAATTCTCCTTCAACCCTCAAAACATCATCCCAGAGTTAAGTACTCCCTCTTAGCTTTTGAAAGCCCTTCATTTCCAAATACCCCAAGGTAAACCACAGATCATATACAAGTGACTTCACAACAAAAAGGGGCAGGGTAAGAGTACAAAGAAGCCAGCCATATGCTCCTTGAGGGCACACTGAAAATCAGGGGCTAAAAGCAACATGACTAATATGTACTGGTTACAATGGACTTAAAGACACAGACAAACAATAGTGAAAGCTGGATGTCACTAAAGTTGGACTTAAATTTGCTTCTTTTTTTTTTTAAAAAAAGCCTTTAAGAGCCTCCCTGATGGCTCAGGGGTAAAGTCTTAGAGCTATCAAGCTGTCAGCAGTCACTGCAATGTGAGTTCGATCCCTGGTCCGGGAGCTGACCCACATGGTGCAGGAGACCTGAGAGCAGGTCTCCTTGCTGCCCCCCCACCCCACCCAGCAGTGTATCTGCTCTCTACTCTGGGAAATCCTCTCACCTCTGCACCTTTGGCCTGTACCCCAGTTCTTGTATACATAAAAAAAAAAATCTTAAAATAAAAAGGGCTTTTAATTGTTACATAAAGCAAAGATATATTAACTGGGAAACAGAAAGGGACCTATTCTAAAACATCTTTAAATGTTGATTCTTCGTAGCTAGAGTTAGCAATACATGTTTACATTCATTGCAAGTGGGTGGACTTTCTGGATGTAGAGCTGTGTGTTTGTTGAATTCATTGATTTATTTTGAATGCTAGATTTAAGTGGATATTGGTTTTCCAAAGTTCTCTCTTTAACTAATTCCATGACAACTGTAGGTGTAGTGCACTCTGGGTCAACACTTAGCTTTTAAATTTTTAATCATTGTGATAGGTATATAGTATTATCTCACAATCATTAAGTCCCCTTTCATATACTTATTGTTACTTGAGTAGTGTCTCTCTTTTTTTAGTAAAATTCAGCTCTATTCCAGCCTTCTCTATCACGTTTGTTTTGTGGGTGTTCTTCCTATTTCTATGAGCACTCTGTGAATTTTACATGTTTCAAATATTTTACCCACTCTGTGGCTAGTTTTTCACTCTCAGTGTTATTTTTGGTGAGGACAATGAAGCAAAAGTATATGAATGTAGTAAGAAAATTTGGAGTTTCTTATAACCATCATCCAAATCAAGAAAAATGTGCTCTTTTCATTCTGTCAAATCTAATAGTTACAAAAAACCTTTACTCGGTAACTATAATAAGGAAAAATTACATGATTTAAAACATCTCAATTTACAATCTAGCAGAGCAAAATCATGAGAAGGAACAGGCATACACACATGACAAAATTCTTTAAAATTCTCTTCTACAGAAAAAGTACTTTTCAAAAGCAGAGTAATGAAGCACCAATTTACAGTTAAATTTTAATAAATAATGAATGTATCTTTTCTGAGCTTCAAAATGTAGCACCTAGAAACGAATTTAGGATGACAGCAAGCACAGTCCCAACAGTCTAATGATGCTAACACTTTGGAGAGCAATAGTCCTGCCAAGAATGTATTCAACTAAATCTAGATGAAAGGAAAAACGCTACAAAACAATTGGCCAGGAGTATTCAAAACTCTCAAGGTTATGACAATCAGGGAAAGACTAAAGAATTAGGCAAGAAGATTAAGAGATATGACAATGAAATGCAACATCTAACTCTGAGGATTAAATAACATTAAAACATCAGTTTCCTGTTTGATGGGCATGCTTAAAAGACTGTATTTGTCTGAAGGAAATCCATTCAGTGGTGGTTTCTCTGGTAATTCTTTTACCATCGCCCTCACTGCTGGCCAACCCCCCACATTTTCTATGCAAAAAATTTTAAAAATATATTCAATGAGACCACTGATCCTGGAGTTAATCAATGAGAAAAACGACTGAAATCTAGGTCTCCATTCCTAAACTATTCTCGACCTTTACCAAACAGCAGGTTGTGCGTTTTTCTATTTAAAAACAAAGGATTTACAAAATGTTATTCTAGGTACTACTGTTAATAGTTAAGAAATTGTAGTTAATCACGTGTTCTCTAATTGTGCATGTAATTCTCGTAAAAAACTTAATAGAACATTGGTGGGAGAAACTTTCAGAGGGAAAAAACCTATTATGCTACCACATACAACCTTGACAGATTGTAACTTAACACTTCTCCCTAAGAACGAGTTTGTTGGAAAAACATTCTTTCAAATATCTGGTAATCCTAAATTTTTCTCCTATGAAAGTATTACTACAGAGAACGATGTTTAGTAACACTGCTTTGCACTGTAACTATCCTCAGGCAGAGCAATTTATATCATCAATATCTCAAATTCCCCACCAATAGTGACTTTTAGAAATGGTTTTGGGGAAGACCTGCCTTTCGCCTTTAAATTTCCTTCCAACGATGTAGACTCTTACGCGTAAATATCGAAGCGAATACCTGTATTCATCTGTAACCCTAAAAAAGCTGTACGTACTGGTAGTTTGTCTCCTAGCAGCTGGCACAAAGCCTGCTCAATTAATTCTGTGCACGCAGTACCCCCGCGTTAAAGCCTCGATCACTGAAACTACACAGACCGCTGAAAAATCTTCTCTTACAAGTGCTTGCAGGGACGGGCACCGCCACTACGGATCTATCTATGATCCCCAAATCCACTCCACGCAGTTAGAATCGATATGTTTAAGGGAATCAATGCGGTTATTTTTATTACAACTCACCAAGTCTTACTCAATAGCACGATTACAACACTATTTAAAGGCACCGTGCGTGAAAAAGCTGCTCCACGGTCACTGCCACCTAAGCAGGGCCATCAGCTTTGACGAAAAACTACTGCACACGTCCTGCAGCGCCCACCCGCCTTCCTCACGAGCACCCGGCCCAGCGGCCGCAGTGGTCGTCGGCATTTAGGTTTCGCCCGAACACGCCCCTGGCGACCTCAGGCCGCGGGGAGCCCCGCTCCGCCTCCACC